TCAGATTAATTGATGACTGTTCAGATCTGTAAACGATTTAAAATCATGTTAAATCCCATGAAATGAACTTTCCAGTTGATGTAATGAGTTCTGGTCCGGCTCTCAGGTCAGCTGTACGGCCTGGAGAAGTTCTGGGCTTTCCTCAAATACTCCAAAGCCAAGAACCTGGAGATCGAACCCAAACTGCAGCAATGTCTGAGCAACTTCAAACGCCTGGAGGACTTCAGGATCGACGTGAGTAAACAGCAGAAGAAGAAGCCAATACCACGCCAATGATCGATTAGGAAAATTCCTTAAAGCAAATTAAATTTGGTTCAATATCATCCAGATCAAAAAGAGCAATGATGTGAAAAAACGGGAAATGTTTTCATCTTTAAAAAAGGAATTTAATCATTTACATGAGACATTTTTCATCTTTTACTATTATAAGTGGCTACTACAAAACAGGACCATTCATTTATCCAATTAAATCAGAATAATCCAGAGAATGCAGCTTTTCTGCTCATCATTGAAAAGTATCAAATCCATGTATTTAAAATTAAGGCCTTAAAATCATTTTTAAGTCGTCCTAAATAAATTAATCACAGGTCTTAAACGTTGTCATAAACTATTTTTACTACATTGTTGGGTTCTGTAGCCTGAGGTATTCCAGGCTAATGCTAACAAGATGCTAATGTACTTGCTAGCTATGTTGTCTGGATGAGTGAGTTCATGTGTCATGATTCTCTTTTGTAGATTTCTATTGTGATTTGGGTCTAAAGTTTCATTCACTGGTCTTAAATGGTCTGCTATTCAATGTTTGTGAATTAAGGCCTTGAAACGTCTTAAATTAAGGACAAAAGGAAAGTCGGCCTTAAATACATTAATTACAGGCTCAGATTTTATCATGGCAGCATAATGTCCAGCATTGTTTTAATTCTGATTGGAAGCAGTTACTGATAGCAACTGGCTGATATAGCCCTGCTAGTTAGCATTTGCAAATCTACTATATATATATATATATATACACCCCCAAACTGGAGCAGTGGCTAACAGATCCCAGGAACAACATCAGACATCTCAGTCCAGAAATGTGCAGCAGCCAAGATACTGCAGGACCCTCAAGCTCCCAGGCCTCTGGTAGAGGACCAATATATATAGATCTATATATATAGATCTATATATATAGATCTATATATATAGATCTATATATAGATCTATATATCCTCTGGTAGAGGACCGAGCTCAGAGGATAAGAACCACCCGCGTTGGGTGAGAAGGGAATTTTTATATATATATATATATATATATAATATATATATATATATATTATATATATATATTATATATATATATATATATATATATAGTAGATTTGTTGTGATGCAGGGGGATTTAAAAATCTTACATTCATGTTGATGAAATAATTTCATACATTTGTCAGGACTGTTTAATCTCCCAAGTTAGTTTTTGTTTTTTTCTCTGTCTTCAGGTCATTCAAGTTGCTTAATGTCCATTTGCTGTTGGACATGAGTCTTAAATTGAATTTAAAATGTTATAAAAAGTTTAGATTTGCTGACGCGGCAGACAGAAACCCTGAATCCTTCCTTCACTTCCTGAAGCGTTTCTGTCATCTTCCAGCCTCCGATGGACGACGGTGGACCGCAGGAGAACACCCGTCAGCGGAGACGGCCGGCGCCGCCCACCCTCCCAGCCCTCTGGGCCGGCCCCATAGCCAGGCCTGCGCCGCAACCCTCCCACACCTGTTGCTGCTGCTGCTGGTCCTCAGCCAAGGACATGCCAAACCCGCCAAGCAGAACAGAGAGCCGCTGCAGAAAGGACGCCAAAACACTGAAGTAACTGCAACAGGGTTCTGCGGGGACCGAGCCGAGCGGGTCTGCCTGGCGCCAGAGGGGAGGAGCGCTTCATTCGTTCACCTGATCAGTTTCAGAACAAAAAACCGTTGATTTGATTTTCTCAAGAGGTTAAATTTGTGGATGGATCATGAAGAACGAGTTTCCCCACCGCTCCGTCTGGAAGGTTTTGACTCCCCGATCTGGACCGGACGATCAGGACCGGACCGGTTCCTCATGAATCTGGACTCACAGCACATAAAGCAGAGACCCGCTCGTCAGGCTGTGATCGTTGCCTTATTCTGATGTTACCATGTTACCATGGTGGCCTGTTCCAGCAGCGGCCACCAGGTGGCGCTGCCGGGTTCCCTCCGTCTGAACCGTCTTCTTCTGTTACTGAGATTTAAAAAAACAAACCAACTCAATGAGAATTAAAGATGGCCGCCTTCTGGCTCCTCCTCCTTCCAGCGTCAGCAACGCTAAGCCACCCGGACCTGGACCTGGACCCGGACCTGGACCCGGACCTGGACCCGGACCTGACCCGGACCTGGACCGGGACCTGGGACTGGACCGGGACAACGGACCTGGACCCGGACCGGACCTGGTACCGGACCGGACGGACCCGGGACCGGACCTGGACCCGGGACCTGGACCGGACCTGGACCCGGACCTGGACCCGGACCGGACCTGGACCCGGGACACGGACCTGACCGGACCCGGACCTGGACCCGGACCTTGGACCGGGACCTGGACCTGGACCCGGGACTGGACCGGCCGGACCCGGGACCTGGACCTGGACCCGGACCCGGACCTGGACCCGGACCTGGACCCGGACCTGGACCGGACTTGGACCGGGACCTGGACCTGGGACGCCGGACCGGACCTGGACCGGTACCGGTACCCGGACCCGGGGACTTGGACCGGGACCCGGACCCTGGACCCGGACCGGGACTTTGGACCGGGACCCGGACCTGGACCCGGGACCTGGACCTGGACCCGGACCCGGGACTTGGACCTGGACCCGGGACCTGGACCTGGACCCGGACCCGGGACTTGGACCCGGACCTGGACCTGGACCCGGACCTGGACCTGGACCCGGACCCGGACCTGGACCCGGGACCTGGACCTGGACCTGGACCCGGACCCGGACCTGGACCCGGACCTGGACCCGGGACCTGGACCCGGACCCGGACCTGGACCCGGACCCGGACCTGGACCTGGACCCGGACCTGGACCCGGGACCTGGACCTGGACCCGGACCTGGACCTGGACCGGTACCCGGACCCGGACTTGGACCGGGACCCGGACCTGGACCCGGACCCGGGACTTGGACCGGGACCCGGACCTGGACCCGGACCCGGGACTTGGACCCGGACCTGGACCCGGACCCGGACCTGGACCGGTACCCGGACCTGGACCCGGACCCGGACCCGGACCTGGACCCGGGACCTGGACCTGGACCTGGACCCGGGACCCGGACCTGGACCCGGACCTGGACCCGGGACCTGGACCCGGACCCGGGACTTGGACCGGGACCCGATGATGTCGTGTAAACCTGAACATATAAAGATCAGCAGATTCTATATTTTTTGTCTTTAACTCTTTATTTTGAATTTGTTTAGTTTAATTTGCTCTGCTATGGTTGGAGAATCAAAGGTCAAAATGGGTAAAACCATAACAGCAAAGCAGACTAATTATTAAATCGCTTCAGGTAATTTCTGTTAGTGAAATACTTAAAAAAAAAAATTTAAAAAAAAGTTGAGGAATAAATTAGATATTTGTAAATTTTTGTAAAAATCTTGAAAACATAAAATGTTGACAAAAGGAGCAAATTAATAACTTAGAATATGGTCTTTATGTCGGTAAAGTGATTCTAAAAGTCCAGATTCATTACGTGTCGTGACACTTTTGAACTTTTTGTGGCTCTCAGAAAATTTTAATGATATTACAGCTATTTAAAAAACGTAATTTTTATGTGACTTTTGTCTCCATTTACCGATTCAACAGTCCAGACGCCGACTCCTCAAACTGCAAAGGATAAATATAAGTTTACTTCCCAATCAAATATGATGCTCTACAATTTTCTGAAATGTATATTTTTTAAATCTGCTGCACTTTTTCCTTCCACACAACTTTCCATGAACATGCTCACACACTGCAATCATAATTTTTGTTTATTTACTATTTAAATTTCCTGAGAAGCTGCATTTTTAAATCTTTTGTTTTGGCCAGGACCTTTGACATTAACCGGATGAAACGGCTGAATTTCTCTGTTTGTTTGGAAGCTGGACAAAGCAGAGACTCTGTCCTGATTGGCTGATTCCTGGAGATAAAGGTCATTCTGAAGGTCGCGTTCGGCTGCGATGCTTCATTTTATTTTTCCAGTCTCTGTTGGACGTTGAAATGGGAAACCTTCCTCTTCCTCCCAGCTCTTCCTCTTCCTCATGTGCTGCTAGCTGCCGGTGGACAGCAGGGGGCGCCGGAGACCCGGATGGAAAACTTGGCTGCTTATGAGACTGAAAAGGACGAAAGTTTCCATGAAGCCATATGAATAAGAATTACCTGAACCATCTAACATTTCCTTTGGCTTGTTATGAGGAAAAAAAAGATGAAAATGAGAACAAAAGGAACAAAAAAAATATATAAAGTGGAAAAAAATGTAAAATATTTGAATGAGAGCTTGTATCATAACATTTAATATTCATAATATCTGCTTTGTAGGCTGACGTGATTCGCTGTTAGTGTTATTTGTAGTAATTATGCTTTATCCTTTAATAAAGAAAAAAAACTGAAAACAGACAAAAAAACCTGAAAGTGGCGCCGCAGCGTGATTTATGACGGAGCAGGAAGTTTGTTCAGGGCTCAGCGGGTTTCCTTCCTCTGTGCTGCTGATCCATAGCATTGATTCATCAACTTTTAGATTTTTGGGAAGAAATTGACAGACGTAATCTGGATTTCCATATTTTCAGAGATGAACCGGGTTTGATGTCTGCAGTCATGACAATAAAGTCATAATGTGCAAAATAACAAAGTGCTAATATTACCAGAAAACAAAAAGTCTCAATGAAACCAAAATAAATTATTGAGGAAAAAATGACCTGCATTATTTCAAAGAGAAATGTTTTCAGTCGTTACAGATTTAAATTTTCCACTTCAGAAACCGAAGAATCAAAATGCGACAAACATTTTAATGTTCCTGTGAAAATATTCTGCATGTTTCACTGAAAACATCTGGATCAGAAATACAAAATGAGACCAAGTTCTGCTGGAACCGATCAACCGGATTCATGTCAAATCAAAGCGCTGCAGGAGCTCCCGGGGTCAAAGGTTAGGGCTCCCTCAATGGCCAGGGGGTCGGAGGTCGTCACCGGCCCTTCTTGTGGGTGTCGGGGATGCTGTGGGTGAGCGGGGTCAGGCTGGTGAGCAAGGTGTGCCGCTCGTACTGCTTCGTCTGCCGGAAGCGCGAGTCGGTGCCGTGCAGCCGGTCCAGAACGCCGAACACGCCGAAGCACTGGTTGAACCTGGAACCAGGAGAGGCGGATCAAGTACCGGGGCGGGGGCCAAACGCAGCCCGCCACAGACATCAATGTGGTTCTGGGGGTCGGGTCGGGAGGTCGGGTTCTGTGCGACGGTTCTGTGCGTCGGGTCGGGTCGGGCGGAGTGCCACTCACCGCAGGTGGTGGAAGTCGTGGAACTCGGGCGGGCAGGAAGGGCAGGTGGTAGCCGCAGTGGGACACGGTGGTGCTGACCAGAGCCAGGCAGTACCACACGCTGGTGGTGGTGATGTGGGAGCCCAGCAGGACGGGTCCGATCACCACCGGCAGCATGTTGGAGATCTGATGGAGACGCAAACGTGAACAACATCACAGATGAGCCTCTTTCAGTCGGGTCGACCCGGTTCTACTGGAACCAGAACGCCTGCAGCTGCTGTGTTCTGAGTCGGAGCAACGATCATATCGCTCGATATTGATAATCGATTCATTTTTTGCTTCAAATATCTGTCAAACTGCAGATGCAACACTTCCTGTTTTATCCAGTTTTCACTTCCTGCTGATTATTTTTCAGAAGTTAAACATAAACCAGAAACTGCCAGTTATTGAACAGGTTTCATCTGGTGAAACAGGAAGTTGCTCTCTTCAGAGGTTTTAGTGTCGTTTCCTGCAGTGGTTGTTGGTGCAGCGCCCCCACAGGCCAGGAGGGGAACAGGCTGGTTTGGGTCAGAACCACAGCAGCTGGAGGTGGAGCAGAAGTTCTGGTTTCAGTAGAACCGGGTCGACCCGACTGAAGGAGGAAAGCTTCCTGAGTGAATCTACCAGCAGTACACAGAGAAAATGGCGGCTGTACCACGTGCTCCAGAGGATGAGCGTAGATGGAGACGACGCCGATGGGAGCGGTCCATTCATGATGCTGCTTGTGGAAATGCTTGTAGAGGCTGGGATGGTGGAACAACCTGGGGAACGACAGACGGATCAGCAACTGGTTCCCAGCAACTGGTTCCCTGGAACTGGTTCCCAGCAACTAGTTCCCAGCAACTAGTTCCCGGAACTGGTTCCCAGCAACTAGTTCCCAGCAACTGGTTCCCAGCAATTGGTTCCCAGCAACTGGTTCCCTGGAACTGGTTCTCTGGAACTGGTTCCCAGCAACTAGTTCCCAGCAACTAGTTCCCGAAACTGGTTCCCAGCAACTAGTTCCCAGCAACTGGTTCCCAGCAACTGGTTCCCAGCAATTGGTTCCCAGCAACTAGTTCCCAGCAATTGGTTCCCTGGAACTGGTTCCCAGCAACTGGTTCCCTGGAACTGGTTCCCAGCAACTAGTTCCCAGCAACTGGTTCCCAGCAACTCGTTCCCAGCAATTGGTTCCCAGCAACTGGTTCCCTGGAACTGGTTCCCAGCAACTCGTTCCCAGCAATTGGTTCCCTGGAACTGGTTCCCAGCAATTGGTTCCCAGCAACTGGTTCCCTGGAACTGGTTCTCTGGAACTGGTTCCCAGCAACTAGTTCCCAGCAACTAGTTCCCGGAACTGGTTCCCAGCAACTTTTCCCAGCAACTGGTTCCCAGCAATTGGTTCCCAGCAACTGGTTCCCAGCAACTGGTTCCCAGCAACTGGTTCCCAGCAATTGGTTCCCTGGAACTGGTTCCCAGCAACTAGTTCCCAGCAACTGGTTCCCTGGAACTGGTTCCCAGCAACTAGTTCCCAGCAACTGGTTCCCTGGAACTGGTTCCCAGCAACTAGTTCCCAGCAACTGGTTCCCTGGAACTGGTTCCCAGCAACTAGTTCCCAGCAACTAGTTCCCTGGAACTGGTTCCCAGCAACTAGTTCCCAGCAACTGGTTCCCAGCAACTGGTTCCCAGCAACTAGTTCCCAGCAACTGGTTCCCAGCAATTGGTTCCCTGGAACTGGTTCCCAGCAACTAGTTCCCAGCAACTGGTTCCCTGGAACTGGTTCCCAGCAACTAGTTCCCAGCAACTGGTTCCCAGCAACTCGTTCCCAGCAATTGGTTCCCAGCAACTGGTTCCCTGGAACTGGTTCCCAGCAACTCGTTCCCAGCAATTGGTTCCCTGGAACTGGTTCCCAGCAACTGGTTCCCTGGAACCGGTTCCCAGCAACTAGTTTCCCTGGAACTGGTTCCCAGCAACTAGTTCCCAGCAACTGGTTCCCTGGAACTGGTTCCCAGCAACTAGTTCCCAGCAATTGGTTCCCTGGAACTGGTTCCCAGCAATTGGTTCCCAGCAACTAGTTCCCAGCAACTGGTTCCCAGCAACTTGTTCCCAGCAACTAGTTCCCAGCAACTGGTTCCCTGGAACTGGTTCCCAGCAACTAGTTCCCAGCAACTGGTTCCCTGGAACTGGTTCCCAGCAACTCGTTCCCAGCAATTGGTTCCCTGGAACTGGTTCCCAGCAATTGGTTCCCAGCAACTGGTTCCCTGAAACTGGTTCCCAGCAACTAGTTCCCTGGAACTGGTTCCCAGCAACTAGTTCCCAGCAACTGGTTCCCTGGAACTGGTTCCCAGCAACTAGTTCCCAGCAACTAGTTCCCGGAACTGGTTCCCTGGAACTGGTTCCCAGCAACTAGTTCCCAGCAATTGGTTCCCAGCAACTAGTTCCCGGAACTGGTTCTCTGGAACTGGTTCCCAGCAACTAGTTCCCAGCAACTAGTTCCCGGAACTGGTTCCCAGCAACTAGTTCCCAGCAACTGGTTCCCTGGAACTGGTTCCCAGCAACTAGTTCCCAGCAATTGGTTCCCTGGAACTGGTTCCCAGCAATTGGTTCCCAGAAACTAGTTCCCAGCAACTGGTTCCCTGGAACTAGTTCCCAGCAACTGGTTCCCTGGAACTGGTTCCCAGCAACTAGTTCCCAGCAACTGGTTCCCTGGAACTGGTTCCCAGCAACTAGTTCCCTGGAACTGGTTCCCAGTGTGTCCTGCCTGTGTGAGTAGTAGAAGAGGATCTCCTCCAGCATGGAGAACAGGCCGAGCTCCATCAGGCCTCGGTGGAAGGTGGGCAGCTCCGGGCCGCAGGGCCGGCCGGTCCGGCTGGCCAGCAGGTAGACCAGAACCACCATGGACCCGGAGACCAGAACCTGGTTGAACAGGACGGTCCGAACCGCCTGCCGCAGCTTGGCCGGGTCCACCTGCGGGAACAGACACCGTTCATCGAGCCGCTCGCCGGTACCAGCTGAGGTTCTGCAGCCGAGTCACAAACTGAAGGCTGGAACAGCGCCACCACTTGGTCAAACACATCAAAACGTTCATCTGTCAGTCAGAGTAGAAAATAACTGAAGCAAAGTTTAATTATTTATTTCAAATGAAAAGTAAAATAAAGACGTCAGAACATAGAATTACTGAATAGATCTGCCCTTATGGATCAGACATCATCTGCATCAATATAGATATTAGATCAGCGATTTGCTGCTAAATGCAGATTTTTCTACTTTTATTCACATTGAAAATGATTTTCTATGTAATAAATTGACTTTATTAAAAGAAATTGGTCTCAGCAACAAGAATAATCTGGATTATTTTCTTTAAAAATTATTTTATTGCATCAACTGATTGTGATGCAAAATCAGATCCATAATGCTAGTGAATTATTTATCATTTCATTTAAAAACCTGAATTAAAGTAATAATTAGTTAATTGGTGTTGAGGTTCTGAGTTTCTCACTAATATGATCAAAAGTTTGCCCATATTCTAATCATGTTTCCATTAAATAATAAACTACATTAAAATCACATGAATAAGTTTGTTCACATAAGTCTTACAGAAATACACATTATCATCATTTCCTGTCTTCTTCTTTGTGGTCTCCAGCAGTAGTAACTTCCTGTTGATGCGAAAATTGTTTCCGTTGCAGTTTAAGGAAATGGAGAGTTGAAAACCTTTTTATTGAAAAACTTGATTTCTTTAAATTTAACATTTTAACTCAGGAAATGTGAAACTGAAGAATGATGAGGTGAAATGCAGCGGCAGACATTTTGTTTCATCAGTGGCTGTAAATATAAAAACTGCAGCTGGAATCAGGGAGTGAACTTCTTGTTCAGAATGTTCTGGACCTAATCGCTGATCAATAATCATTAATGTTTATCTGTGAGTGGGACTTTCCTCAGAGGCACAGCGGCAGACCGACGTCACGTTCTCAGATTATCAGTCCCTGATAATCTGAGAACGTTCTCAGATTATGGTTTAATCCCGCCGCCCTGATCGGGTCGCTCCAGTCCAGAATCCCACATCCAGAATCAGGATTATTCAGCGTGTTGGATTGTTTTGGATTATCACATCCAGTGTTTTGTCCCCAGTAGGAGCGAGAGCGCCCCCTGCTGGATGTGACCGCAACCGAGCAGGAAGCAGAATCCCAACAGGGAACCCAGAGCGCAGCAGAGATGGGAGCTCAAATGTGGAAACAAGGTCAAAGTTCATTCAAGGGACATCAGCAGAGAGGAGTGAATAAATCTCAGCTTCGTTAGGAAACCAGAACCAGAACCGCACAACCAGAACCGCACAACCAGAACCGCACAACCAGAACCGCACAACCAGAACCGCACAACCAGACCGCTTCATGATGCAAACATGACTTTCCTTCCTTTTGCTGCTGTTTTCACATAAATGTTGTGAGTTTTGCACTAAAGTCGCTAAATGTTTTCATGAGACAAAATAACTGCATAATTTTACACTTTAGTTTCAGAAATAAACTTTCCACTAAAAGAAAAACAAAAAGTTTCTGCGGTTTTTAAATTGCAGTCACAGGGCTGCACAAAGTTCATCCCGGGGGGTCCACAAACGGTCCCTGGTCCACAAACGGCCCCCCCAGTCCACAAACGGTCCCTGGTCCACAAACGGTCCCCGGTCCACAAACGGTCCCTGGTCCACAAACGGCCCCCCGGTCCACAAACGGCCCCTGGTCCACAAAGGGTCCCTGGTCCACAAACGGCCCCTGGTCCACAAAGGGTCCCTGGTCCACAAACGGCCCCCCGGTCCACAAACGGCCCCTGGTCCACAAAGGGTCCCTGGTCCACAAACGGCCCCTGGTCCACAAAGGGTCCCTGGTCCACAAACGGCCCCCCGGTCCACAAACGGCCCCCCGGTCCACAAACGGCCCCTGGTCCACAAAGGGTCCCTGGTCCACAAACGGCCCCTGGTCCACAAAGGGTCCCCGGTCCACAAACGGTCCCTGGTCCACAAACGGTCCCTGGTCCACAAACGGTCCCTGGTCCACAAACGGCCCCCCCAGTCCACAAACGGCCCCTGGTCCACAAACGGCCCCCCGGTCCACAAACGGTCCCTGGTCCACAAACGGCCCCCGGTCCACAAACGGTCCCCCGGTCCACAAACGGCCCCGCGGTCCACAAACGGCCCCTGGTCCACAAAGGGTCCCTGGTCCACAAACGGCCCCCGGTCCACAAACGGCCCCGGTCCACAAACGGCCCCCCGGTCCACAAACGGCCCCCCGGTCCACAAACGGCCCCCGGTCCACAAACGGCCCCCCGGTCCACAAACGGTCCCTGGTCCACAAACGGCCCCCCGGTCCACAAACGGCCCCCCCGGTCCACAAACGGTCCCCGGTCCACAAACGGCCCCCTGGTCCACAAACGGCCCCTGGTCCACAAACGGCCCCTGGTCCACAAACGGCCCCTGGTCCACAAACGGTCCCTGGTCCACAAACGGTCCCTGGTCCACAAACGGCCCCCGGTCCACAAACGGTCCCTGGTCCACAAACGGCCCCGCGGTCCACAAACGACCCCCGGTCCACAAACGGCCCCCCGGTCCACAAACGGCCCCCGGTCCACAAACGGCCCCTGGTCCACAAACGGCCCCTGGTCCACAAACGGCCCCCGGTCCACAAACGGCCCCCTGGTCCACAAACGGCCCCGGGGGGCCCCACTTTGATCAACTCTATGGCAGACTCTGACTCTGACTGGGAAAACATTTCCTGCTTTGTCATTTTGTGCTCATTGATTTCAGTGGAATCTGAACCGGGCCACAGAGAAGAACCTACCGGGTCGTTCCTGCCCTCCTGGATCCGGTACCGAGTGATGAAGGACGGTTTCCCAGAAGTGTCCACCAGCAGCAGCAGGCCGTTCAGCATCCAGAACACCAACGTCGGGGCCAGCATGGTTCCTGTCCCAGACGAAACAAACGGGTCCAAATGTTAGAAACCCAACCGGGTCCAAAACGATGTGGATAATGAACTTTGTGGCTTGAAACTGGGCCTCTGTCTGTAGATGTAAATCAACCAAATATTCTGATTCCTGTTGAAAATATAATCATTGTAGATGTTATCAGTTTCAAAATGTTTGGGATTATTTTCCTGTTTGGCCTGCAGATGATTTATGTTGGAGGAAAAGTCGATGTTCTAGTTTCTCTAAAGTGAAGATGAAAACAGAATTATTGGGAATCTATTTTTGCACCTCATTTTTATTTCATCTATAAAATGATTTCCGTAAAAGATGGAAAATGATCCACATGCAGCAACTTGGGTATCAGATTTCCTGCAGACCAGAACTGAACGGCCGCATAAAATCCCTCAGTGGGCCGTGATCGGCCCCTGCGCCACACTTTGGGCATCGCTGCTTTAAAACGTTTGAGAAAAACCAACAAAAATAATTCCTAAGGATCAAAAAGCTGTAAGTTATCAGAAAGCAGGTTTAGTTCTCGCTGTGAATTCGGTTTTCCATCGTTAAGAGAAACGAATGAAGCGACTAAAATAAACTTTCCAAAAATATTCCAATTTATTAAATATGCATAGATATGAGGTTCACTTCCTAAATGACATTACAAACTGATTTAGTTTTAAATCTGTGCAGCTGATATTACACACAATAAAATACAAAAATATATATAAAATATATGATTATTACTAAGACATAATAGTAATTAACTGATTAGAAGGAAATATGAGTTGAATATTTAAGCAACTGTTTCAGACACAAAATCCAGAAAGATTTTGGGTCCGACCTTTGACCCAGCTGACATCTGAATGAACTGGTTCATGAAGCTGCAGTGACCTTTGACCTTTAGCCTTCTCTTCGGTTGAACCGCACTAATCTAATCCTCATTTACAGATCCTGGGATTAAATTACGTTTGGTTTCTGTCATAAATCTGACGGACGCAAAACTATGGAGCTTCTCCAACCAAAAGGTTTCACAAACTGACGGTACAAATATTCAATTCAGCCTCAGATCGGTGACCTTTGACCTGAAAGGGACAAAAAACTGGAATAATTTTCCTACCGAAGAAGAACAACGCAGCATCGTGACCCTCAAACTGCAGGTAAACCTTCGTCCACAACTTCTGCCAGAAATCTCCTGAAGCTCCCCAGAATCTCTGAAGATGCCTGGAGCCAGAGGTCAGAGGTCAGAGGTCAGGCTGCTTCTTTTTTTTGGTTTTGTAGTTGAAAAGACAATAAAAACCTGATTTACATTGGCTAACCAGTTGAAGCATCACAATATTCATAATAACGAAAATACCTGCAGTAGAAAACATTGATTCATAAAATGCACAAAAACAATGTTTAATATTTAATATCTGTTATTTAAATATTGTTTCAATCTGGGTGTGAAAAAGACATTCTATTAACTGAGGAAAAAATTATTTATATTTGTTATAAAAATATAAAACCTGTTTATTAGTGATGCTGATTATAATGAAATCATTTTTGTTGATTTAAATAAAAATGATCCACAGAACCAAAACTACTAAACAGATTCATACAATAATTATCCTTCATTTCAGTTTTTATAGTGAAAACTTCTGGTGCAAACCAGAGGGGGCGCTACACTTCTCTGGGACAGACTGAAAAATATTCTGTTTATACCTGTCAAATTATAATCATATTAACTTTCATATTCACCTGGTTGAACCTGAATCCAGATTCCACTTCTCCATAGTGACACAAATTGATCAAACTGATCAAACTAATCAAATTGATCAAACTGATCGGCAGCTGCTGGACTCCTGATGAAAACAGGAAGTCAAACTAAAGCAGCCAGGAAGATGGAGACAGAATCTGCAGCATGTTTGCTCCGATCGACTTCTGCACCGTAATTGATTTCCTGCAGACAAACGTCCGGCTCCTCTGTCCAGACGAAACGGATCAATATTCAATACAACGTTGCATCTCTTTAGTTTCTCTGGTCTGGAGTTGAAGGTTTAAAGCTCAAGGCGTCCGGTCCGTAACCTTCGACCCGCCGCCGGCTCCGCTCAGAAAGACGCATTTAGTTCACAGTCTATGAGATGATATTCAAAGATTCTCGTTGATTGATTTCATTCCCTCTGCGATTAAATCTCTGTAAAGTCTAAAGGACCAATCAGGGCTGGAATTATAACCGACGGGCTTCAACTGTCCCCGGCGTTTGAAAAACGCTCAAAATATGTGTGAAGTAGATTTTTCTTTAAAGAGAAAATCTATTATTTCCATCATCCATCATCATGCTTACTGTGTGCCACATTTTTGCCTGTGAGCTGCTGGTAACTATAATTTCCTGAGGGAGTCTTCCCAAGGGATCAATAAAGTGAAGTCTAAGTCTAAGTCTAAGTCTCATACAGTATCATAGTCAAGATGTTTTTTGGTGCAGCTGCAGAAGGTGAACAAACTAAGTGAACAAGATGTCTGTTGAAGTTCCCCAGTCGGGTTATTTGGGAACTTGCTGTTTTTCCCTGCATGCAGATAGAGTGTGTAGACATGATAGTGAATGAGGTTGAACTGTTCCCTCTGTTTTCCTTTGTTTGGTCTGTTTGGTCTTAGCAGGTTGAGTCTGTTAGCAGGTTGAGTCTGTTAGCAGGTTGAGTCTGTTAGCAGCAGGTTGAGTCTCTGTTAGCAGCAGGTTGAGTCTGTTAGCAGCAGGTTGAGTCTGTTAGCAGCAGGTTGAGTCTCTGTTAGCAGGTTGAGTCTCTGTTAGCAGCAGGTTGAGTCTCTGTTAGCAGGTTGAGTCTGTTAGCAGCAGGTTGAGTCTGTTAGCAGCAGGTTGAGTCTCTGTTAGCAGGTTGAGTCTGTTAGCAGCAGGTTGAGTCTCTGTTAGCAGGTTGAGTCTGTTAGCAGCAGGTTGAGTCTGTTAGCAGCAGGTTGAGTCTCTGTTAGCAGGTTGAGTCTCTGTTAGCAGCAGGTTGAGTCTCTGTTAGCAGGTTGAGTCTGTTAGCAGCAGGTTGAGTCTGTTAGCAGCAGGTTGAGTCTCTGTTAGCAGGTTGAGTCTGTTAGCAGCAGGTTGAGTCTGTTAGCAGCAGGTTGAGTCTCTGTTAGCAGCAGGTTGAGTCTGTTAGCAGGTTGAGTCTCTGTTAGCAGCAGGTTGAGTCTGTTAGCAGGTTGAGTCTCTGTTAGCAGGTTGAGTCTGTTAGCAGCAGGTTGAGTCTGTTAGCAGCAGGTTGAGTCTCTGTTAGCAGCAGGTTGAGTCTGTTAGCAGGTTGAGTCTCTGTTAGCAGCAGGTTGAGTCTGTTAGCAGCAGGTTGAGTCTGTTAGCAGCAGGTTGAGTCTGTTAGCAGCAGGTTGAGTCTCTGTTAGCAGCAGGTTGAGTCTGTTAGCAGCAGGTTGAGTCTCTGTTAGCAGCAGGTTGAGTCTCTGTTAGCAGCAGGTTGAGTCTGTTAGCAGCAGGTTGAGTCTCTGTTAGCAGCAGGTTGAGTCTGTTAGCAGCAGGTTGAGTCTCTGTTAGCAGCAGGTTGAGTCTGTTAGCAGGTTGAGTCTGTTAGCAGCAGGTTGAGTCTCTGTTAGCAGCAGGTTGAGTCTCTGTTAGCAGCAGGTTGAGTCTGTTAGCAGCAGGTTGAGTCTCTGTTAGCAGCAGGTTGAGTCTCTGTTAGCAGCAGGTTGAGTCTGTTAGCAGCAGGTTGAGTCTGTTAGCAGCAGGTTGAGTCTGTTAGCAGCAGGTTGAGTCTCTGTTAGCAGCAGGTTGAGTCTCTGTTAGCAGCAGGTTGAGTCTGTTAGCAGCAGGTTGAGTCTCTGTTAGCAGCAGGTTGAGTCTGTTAGCAGCAGGTTGAGTCTCTGTTAGCAGGTTGAGTCTGTTAGCAGGTTGAGTCTGTTAGCAGCAGGTTGAGTCTGTTAGCAGAGAGGTGAATGAAGCAACTATGCAACTCTGAGTTCATTAGAGCAGATTTTGATTTTTAATGTTTGCTCTCTGTCTGCAGACGTATTAAAGATGTTTTTGCTTCCTGACTTTTGTCTGGACATTAGTCTCTGAATTATGCACTTGACATATGGACCATATTCCAATAACGTGATCTCTGGTCCAAACAGAACCAGTGCATTTTATTATATCATAATAATTATAATCTATGCAGTATTAGAATGATCCACGGTTGGGTAGCAACTAGTTACATTTACTCAACAAACGTTTTTAATACAAAGTATTTTTACTGTCAAATTTCTGCATTTTCTTCCCACTGAATGAAAATCAAACATGTATTCTCTACCCTCCCTGCTCTAATCGTTTATCTACATTTTTATTTATCGTAAACATTAATACTCATTATTTACATACATTTCCATCTCCTGTCCCTATGAATTTATAATTACGATTATATTTATAATAATTACAAAGTGGAAGTTAAAGTAGAGATACTTCATAATAAAATGACTAAAATAAAAAGTACAGCGTAGGAACAATACTCCTAAAAGTAAAGTTACTCAAACCTTCCAGAGTAACTGTAACTAGTTACTACGCAGATTTCTACCAGCAAACTCTACACCTTTTCCTATAATGTGATCATGCAGCAGGCTTGCTTTGACTAGACCAACCCAGAGTTTCCAGACTAAGGATTCTGGTCTTTCCAGTTCCAACCTGCCCAGCCGTTTTGTTTCTGTCATGATTCGTTCCCAGCCTTTGTCTCCTCTGTTCACTATTTTACCACTCAGTTAGCCTGGTTAGCCGTTAGCTTTGTGCTGTGATGGTTGTAGTTAGCCTGGTTAGCTGTTAGCTCTGTGTTGGGATTGGCATTACTTAGCCTGATTAGCCATTAGCTGGGTGCTGTGATACTTGTAGTTAGCCTGGTTAGCTGTTAGCTCAGTGCTGTGATGGTTATAGTTAGCCTGGTTAGCTGTTAGCTCAGTGCTGTGATGGTTATAGTTGGCCTGGTTAGCTGTTAGCTTGGTGCTGTGATGGTTATAGTTAGCCTGGTTAGCTGTTAGCTTGGTGCTGTGATGGTTGTAGTTAGCCTGGTAAGCTGTTAGCTTGGTGCTGTGATGGTTGTAGTTAGCCTGGTTAGCTGTTAGCTTGGTGCTGTGATGTTGTAGTTAGCCTGGTTAGCTGTTAGCTTGGTGCTGTGATGGTTGTAGTTAGCCTGGTTAGCTGTTAGCTTGGTGCTGTGATGGTTGTAGTTAGCCTGGTTAGCTGTTAGCTCAGTGCTGTGATGGTTATAGTTGGCCTGGTTAGCTGTTAGCTTGGTGCTGTGATGGTTGTAGTTAGCCTGGTTAGCTGTTAGCTTGGTGCTGTGATGGTTGTAGTTAGCCTGGTAAGCTGTTAGCTTGGTGCTGTGATGGTTATAGTTAGCCTGGTTAGCTGTTAGCTTGGTGCTGTGATGTTGTAGTTAGCCTGGTTAGCTGTTAGCTTGGTGCTGTGATGGTTGTAGTTAGCCTGGTTAGCTGTTAGCTTGGTGCTGTGATGGTTGTAGTTAGCCTGGTTAGCTGTTAGCTTGGTGCTGTGATGGTTGTAGTTAGCCTGGTTAGCTGTTAGCTTGGTGCTGTGATGGTTGTAGTTAGCCTGGTTAGCTGTTAGCTTGGTGCTGTGATGGTCATACCATGTCAGCGAGTTTCCAAAAGCAGCCAGGAACAGAATTCCAGATCCGATGACAAAAGCAGCTTTCTTCACAGAATCCCACAGGCCTCCTGCTGATTCCTGGAAAACAAACCAGCGCCGTGAACAACAGAGGAGCGTCAGAGCAAAACACGACATAATCAACCAGCAATTCTGCTCTAGATTCCAGAGCAAACATATCTTAGTTCACTGGGAATAAAACACAACATGCAAATAACAGCAAGAGCTTAACTTTAGTTCATAATTCCTTAATCTTGATCCACGAGTTTCAGTTCCACTGACAGATTATTTCATTCATAGGAAGATAGTTTTCTGTTTCAAAGTGAAATAATCAGCCATCCATAGGTTTTTCCATCAATATTAATGAATTCTTAACTTTAAAAAGCTCCTGTATCTTGCTGAAAAGTGACAGTTTGTTTTATTTCAAGTGAGGCAGACCAAACCTACTTAGTCAGACTTTGTGTTTTTTCAGTGCATAATGGTGATAAACTGTAAAAGAAGCAGCTGCCACCAGTTGGTCCAGCGATGCGTTCAAAGACAAAACGACATCCTCCTTCTCCGCAGTGGGAGACAGGAGGCGTCCAGGCAGCAGCCATTAAATCCCAGTCGCATTCCTCAGGGAACCATGGCCACCGCGGGACCAGCGCCGCACGCGACGCCTCGGGGGTTTCTGGGTTTCCTCTCGGTTGGAACAGAAAGTTCTGGTTTCGTTTTCACCAAATTAAACCTTAAACTGTTGTGATAGTTTTGTGTAAAGTATTGTGATGATGCAAACATTGACTGAGATTTGAATACTCAACAGAAGAAACTATTTGAATAAAAATATATTTAATTATTGTTGAACTCTGGGGTTTTCTAACAACTTTAGTGACTAGTGAATGTAATTTACTGACAGCTGACAAACCGCTTGTGTGATGGAATAAAAACCAATTTCAATTCATCAGCTTGAAACATCCATATAGATTCATAAACACAAAAACAAAGGACAATATTTCTGTAATTTCAGTATGTTTTAGAAATGCATGACAATAGTTCCAGTTTTTCCCCATTAACAATCACATTTTTATTTATTTAGTTAATAAATAAGCTTTTCTCTGTTTCAGTTTTTCTTATTTGATTAGTTTTAATAACTATAATAACTTTGGTGAATAGTGACAACATAAATATTGTCATTAATATCATTGATAATTTACCTCCAATTTAGTTGAAAATGAACTTTTTCAATATAGTAATTCTTATAAAGATTATTAATAAATTCTGACAAAGCAGAAATAAATAAGTGTCACAAACTGAACTTTTAAAGCTACAGAAACAAAACAAACATAATTGATGAACCTTAAATATTTCAGCTGGTACTGGTTTTATTAAAACAACACAAACTCCACCCAAAGACAAAAGGAGAAGAAACAAAATAAGAGGTCAGATTAATGATTCATCCTTTTGTGAAACTGACAATCTGCTTCTTAACTTGTTACATAACTGAAGATTGTTTTCTGACAGACAGAAACCGAGATTTATTTCACACAATTCATGCAACAGTCAAAAATATTAAAATCAGATCTGAGCACAAAGCAGTGAGTCGTCTTTATTCCTCACAAATCACACCGATTACACACAACACTAAAATAAATGACATTAGACTGAAATAATGATGGAGCATTTGATCAGCAGCAGTATTAATAATAATAGTTGTTGTTGTGTTTTAAATGAACTCTGTGTGTTAAACTTGTGGTTTTACTCAGATGCGCTCTCACCTGTCGGCCGCTGCCTGCTGAGCTCTTCTCAGCTCTCCCCGTCTCTGCAGACAAACAGACACACTGGGTCAAACCGGGTCAGTTTCACAACAGCATGAGTGCAGAGGACAGGGTCCGTGTCTCATGAGACATGAGGGTTACCGTAGCATGAGGGTAACATGAGAGGGACCCTCATGGGACGGGTCACAGCAACATGCAGCCATGTTGCTGACCAGCAGCAGCAACATGGCTGACAGCAGAAGACTGAAGGATTATTCTTAGAGTTTGAACTTAACATGACCAAAAACATGTTTTAGTTGATGGTTTTATTGCCATTCTCCTGTTGTCATTTAGGAGAATAAAAATACATTTGCAGTAGTTGCTACAGCCAAAACACTACCTGGTATTTTCACACAAGCTGTGACTTGTTGCTGCGCTGTCATTTTATTATTTTAATGTCCTCAAATATCTTTTTCAATCTGTTCAAAGTACAATAATCATCTAAGTGCTGTCTGGAGAAATCACAGCGCAGGATTACACATTATCCTAATATAATCCATCTTTACATTTTCCATCACTGCAGATTAAAAATGGAGCAAAAAGCAGCTAATGATTATTTTTAACAACAAATGCATTAAATTATTATGTAAAACTGCCACTGAAAAACAAACCACCGCAACAGTTTTGTTTCATCACTACAAAATAATCAAAAAATGAATGTTTATTTTCAACATAAGGAATACAAAAACAGTCAAACTGTGACGCATTTCCTTTCCAGGCTTCATTCCTGATGGAAAAATTAATACACCAGGAAATTCAAATGTCAAACAAATTGGATTAAGCCTATTAAACCAAATCAAATGTATTTTTATCGGGAGTGGAAGATTTTTAAATGTATTTTTCATGTTACAGAAAACAGAAGCATGTTTGATTCTGTTTCTATGAGAACAGAATCAGAGAAATGCATAAAGAACCAATAAACGCCGCGGAGCTTTTATTAAATCCTTTCAGGCGGATCTTATGATGTCGGACAGAAACTCACCGCGGCTCTCGGCCTCCATGTTTTTCCTCTCTGCTTCTCCTGCAGCCAGCTGATACGAACTCAGCCGCACTTTATTTACTTCTGGAGGACGCTTCTGATTGGCTGCTCCCTGGTCAGCTGACAGAGGCCGAACCCGGAAGTAAGCTCCCGCTTCTCCCGCTGTGTTTTCCTGCAGGTCACAGGTAAAAGGCTGAGCTGATCAGTGTCGATAAGCGATTAGAGCACAGGTAGGGGTCAAAGGTAATGAAAAACAACGCTGTAATCATTTTAATAAATACCAGTTTTCACACTAAACTTCAAGGACTTACAGTATGAAGGGAAATAATGACTCTGTCTTCTGCTGCCTCAGACTAATTATGATTTTTATTCCATTTCATTCAAAGAAGCAGATATTCTGTCTCTAAGTGAGAAACTATTAACATTACAGGACAAATCAGAACTGAACTCCAACTTGCAGCATATTGAAATAAAGATATTTCTCTAGAATTATTACTAATTTATTTCAATAAAATTGGGGAAAATAAAAACAAAAATAATTTTGTTCTTTAGAAACTGAACTACTGAAATGTTTAACAAAACGTTATTTACGAATGAAAAAGTTATAAATGTCAAAAAAGCTGAAATGAATGTTTATAGATTTGAAACATAAACGTACACAGCTGAAAATGCTGTTTATGTAAAAATCCTGCCAGTTACATCAATATGAGTTACTGTGCTGACACTAAAACTGAATTTTGAACAAAAATAATGTCAGGGTTCAGAAAAGTTTTTACCAACTGACATAAACCCGACAGCTGTGTTTTATTCCTAAACTGAACCTGATTGGCCTGAGCTATCCGGACACGAGGCGAAGCCAGCAGATCATCTATATCAATAAAACAAGCATTTGGTTGGAAAGCGCATTGTGGCAAAAATGTTGTTGCTGTATAAATAAAGATAATGAAATGAAATAACTTATTAAACATTCAGTTAAATCATTTTATTTTCATTCAACATGTTTTGTCTGTAAGATGTTGTGAGTGTTTTTGTGAAGCCCAGCTGCTGCCTTTGCCAAAGTACCAAAGTATTTGCAGCCTTGAGCTGCAGCGAGTCAGAGACGTGATGTCTGAGGCCTTAACGTTGCGTTGAGCGTCTCACTCTCAGCCGCTCCCTAAATGTGCTGAACTTCAAGCCCATCACGTGCTGCAAACACACGTGACTCTATTATCAGCCATAATCACTGTTCTCTCTTTAATTGCTAACATAACAAGTCTGGAAATTGTTTTGAAAACAGTTTCAAAGGCATCTTAAACACGCCTGCAGAGAGCTGAGCTGAACTTTTCACAACAGAACTCATTTTCACATCATAAGTTTTCCTCTCATCAACACAGATTTATTTTGTCTATAATATTTATTACATTTTCATTTCTTTAGCTTCTCTTCCTCACACTAAAGGTCAAACTATGATCTGAGGTCATCAGTCAGCCTTTTATCACTCCTGAAGCTTTGCCTCCAAGTTGAAAGTTGAATTCTGATGTAATCATTCCTGCCGTACACCTCACCACCGTCTCACTGGCTGCGTTTATATGAACCTTAAAATTATCCAAATTGAAATTACAAAAATAAATCTGCTTAATGAAAAGACGCCAATTTAAAATAGAAACTCAAGGTTTTTGATGAAAAGTTTTGTGTGAGGATTTCAGATGTATGGAAATGGATTTATGAGCCACATGATTACTATCTGGATGTTACTACTGGTGGAAACGCAGAAGAAGACGACAGGAATCGGAAGCAGGATGATGTTTTGTCTCTTATGTAGCTGGCTCCACCATAACTATAATCTATAACTTTCTATAAATGGCCGACTACACTTCCCTGCACAGTCAATCCCAAGTTGGTGGGGCTTGTGGTCAACGTCTCCTCTGATTGGCTGATAGATAATGAGCGGTAGATGCTTAATTATAATTATATTTCATGTAACTGTTTACATCCCTGATTTAATGCCTTTTTGCTTGAGCAAGCTTATTCATGTGTGATTTGGATTCAATTCCTTAATTAATGGAAACTGTTGGGTTTTTTGACATTAACTGAACGGATGGGCTAGAAATGGAAATGCAGCTGGGTGTTGGCCCTGCACATAGTTCTGCTGATATTTCAATATATTTATGTACTTGGAGAACATGTTCAAAAAAAACACATCAGGCCTTTTCCTGAAACCATCCTCTGATCATCAGGTTCACAGTTTCACCTACAATAATTCACCACGTTAGTTTTAACTACCAAATATATCAAAAAACATATAAACTAGTTTGTGTGTTTCAGTAGCAAGCAGAACATGTTTTGGTTGTAATCAGATCTGATTGATAATTCTGACTGAATCTGAAAGTGTTTATTTCAATCCCAGCAGATCTTCAGGAAGCTTCAGGACGGACGACCATCAACACGCCGGTTTCTTCTTCAATACTTTGGTAAAAATGATGTTCAGTTCATTTTATTGAACTATATATGCTGTTTTTTCTTTCTTTTTGGTAGATTTTTTGTCAAGTTGTTTTCTGCAAACCTAACTTTTAGTTGGTTGAATCATTGTAGCTGCACGTGTATTTCCCAGCAGTTGCAATAGCAACCACGTTGTGAACTGATAGACCAACCACGTTAGTTTATAGTATTTTTATTGTTAAATTTGCATTTTGTGCGCTGTGTTGATGTCCTGCAAGTTAAATATGGAGCGCAGGTGAGACCCCTGGTGGACTTCTGGTGTCACTACACCCAGAATGCTGAGCTGTTTTTTCTTGTTTTAAGATTTAATGATCTTTGAAATTACATTCTTTAGGATATATTTAGATAATTACAGATGAGAAAACAAAATATGCATTTAGTAATTACTTTTAGAGTTAAGTGTAACATTTAAAAATAATTCAATCTTTTCCTGATTCTAATTAGTCAACAAATGAGCTGAAGTTGCTTCTTTGCTATTATTACTTTAGAAATAGTTTTGTTTTTGCTGGGGTTGACGAAAGAAACTTTCCCAAACTTGTTCAGATATGTTTCGGCAGATGTTTGCTTTACATTTTAAATTAGACTTTAATGAAGAGTCCCTCAAGGCTCCATGCTCGGGCCACTCTTACTGAACTGGATGCTCTCCTAATTCAGACAGTGGAGGATGACAACACCTTATGATGGCAGCCGCTGTGATGAATAACTTTATCAAACTGTATCAGCGCATGACCACCATCCTGCACCAATAAGATTTTATCCCAACTGAATGCAGAAAAGGTCAAAGAAAACGGCAACAATAGAGATCAGTGGTCAGACAGCATGCTAGAACATCAACACCAATAAAATAACATCCAATTATAGTCGCTTAGCGAATGAGCCGGCTGCCATCTTTACCATATTAGCATAGCTGCTAAAAACGGTTCAGAACACAGGAAACATTTTTGTGTTGCTTTAAGGCAAATTTTTCCAAATATTGATGCCAAAAAAGTCAGACATAACGAGTCGTAAAAGCTTTAAGACATAAAAGTCATCATTATTTTATTAATTTAACAAACTGTCCACTGGCATTAACACACCTGAGGTTTCTTTATGATCCACTTAGGGACAGAAAACGTTGCTCTGACTTTTGACCTCAAAAAGGGAAAGTTGAATGAAATGAAAATCACCTATCAGGGGAAAGTCCTGCAAGAAAATGAAATCTTAATCAGGCTCCGAAACCCAGACCTTTGAATTGTCTTAGCTTTTGTGGGTATCCCTATTGCTTCTTTCTTCCTTCCACTCGACTTTCCTCTCTGGTTTCCTGAGCGCTGATCCTTTGAGGTTGACCTCCTCTGTGGACGGCTGTCACTGACCTGGTTCTGTTGGATTCTTCTGAACCTGGAAATCCCCCAGTGTAGGTCCAGAGACCAGAGCGGTGTTCAGACTGCAGCTCCTCCAAAGGCCATCAGGTTGGGAGTTTCTGCAGATGGACAGTTGCTGTGATTCTCCTCCTTGATAAGCAGAAAGTTTCCACTGAGACCTTAAATGTAGATGTGGCGACGTTAAGGACACTGAGTGTCTCTGTCTCTCTCTCTGTCTGTCTCTCTCTATCTGTCTCTCTCTCTCTATCTCTCTCTCTCTCTGTCTCTCTCTCTGTCTGTCTCTCTCTCTCTATCTGTCTCTCTCTCTGTCTGTCTCTCTCTCTCTCTCTGTCTCCCCGTCTCTCTCTGTCTCCCTGTCTCTCTCTCTCTATCTGTCTCCCTGTCTCTCTCTCTGTCTCCCTGTCTCTCTCTCTGTCTCCCTGTCTCTCTCTCTGCCTCCCTGTCTCTCTCTCTGTCTCCCTGTCTCTCTCTGTCTCCCTGTCTCTCTCTCTGTCTCCCTGTCTCTCTCTCTGTCTCCTGTCTCTCTCTCTCTGTCTCCCTGTCTCTCTCTCTCTGTCTCCCTGTCTCTCTCTCTGTCTCCCTGTCTGTCTCTCTCTGTCTCCCTGTCTCTCTCTCTCTGTCTCCCTGTCTCTCTCTCTGCCTCCCTGTCTCTCTCTGTCTCCCTGTCTCTCTCTGTCTCCCTGTCTCTCTCTGTCTCCCTGTCTCTCTCTCTCTGTCTCCCTGTCTCTCTCTCTCTGTCTCCCTGTCTCTCTCTCTGTCTCCCTGTCTCTCTCTCTCTGTCTCCCTGTCTCTCTCTCTCTGTCTCCCTGTCTCTCTCTCTCTGTCTCCCTGTCTCTCTCTCTGTCTCCCTGTCTGTCTCTCTGTCTCCCTGTCTCTCTCTCTGTCTCCCTGTCTCTCTCTCTCTCTCTCTCTCCTTTCTCTCTCTGTCTCCCCGTCTCTCTCTCTGTCTGTCTCTCTCTCTCTCTCTGTGTCTCCCTCTCTCTCTGTCTCCCTGTCTCTCTCTCTCTGTCTCCCTGTCTCTCTCTCTGTCTCCCCGTCTCTCTCTCTATCTCCCTGTCTCTCTCTGTCTCTCTCTGTCTGTCTCCCTGTCTCTCTCTCTGTCTCCCCGTCTCTCTCTCTCTGTCTCCCTGTCTCTCTCTCTGTCTCCCTGTCTCTCTCTCTCTGTCTCCCTGTCTCTCTCTGTCTCCCTGTCTCTCTCTCTCTCTCCTGTCTCTCTCTGTCTCCCGTCTCTCTCTCTGTCTCCCTGTCTCTCTCTCTCTCTCCTGTCT